CATAAGTGATTCCCTGAGCACATCCAAGGGTGGCCCCAAAATGAAAAACTAAAACAAAACAGCTACTGATGCTCTCTAAGGAGCCTGGAAGTCCTCTGCTCCCCCTTCCCTTCCTTCTGCTCCTCACCACCGGCGTATTACTGGTCTCAGACCTCCTAGTTCCCTGCCTCTGGGTATGCAGCGGGAACATTCCATTCCCAAGTCCTCTTGCTTAATCTCAGGGAGTCCTGACCAAAACTGTGGCGTCAGGCTAGTGCCAGAAAAAAGTTCTTGGAGCCTGGGAGGAGCCCAGAGATTCTCAGGATTCCTGGGAGCACAGTGGGAAGCTCCAGGACCTCTTTTTATTTTATTTTATTTTATTTTATTTTGCTTTTTGGGCCATACCCAGCAATGCACAGGGGTTATTCCTGACTCTGAACTCAGGAATTACTCCTGGTGGTGCTCAGGGACCATATGGGATGCTGGGAATCGAACCCGGGTCGGCCACGTGCAAGGCAAATGCCCTATCTTCTATACTATCGCTCCAGCCCCCACTCCAGGACTTCTTGACTCTCCCCTAAGAACCCCAGGGAGGGCTTCGTCCCAGTCCAGGGAGGAACAGTCTTGGGCAGATAAGGCATATGGGATGGAGGCAAGAATCTGAGGGCTGGTTTAGCCACAGACAGACCCGAGCCCTTACAGGACCAAAAGCTGGTCATCTGGGGGAAGTTTTCAGACTCTGGACTTTTGGGTTCTGCTGATATATATTTTTCCATAGACACCTCCGAGCAGCACTTGACTTGCACGTGGCCAGGACTTGAGAGTTCAGTGCTGAGGGCACTAGGGCCACCCTGGAGGTGATTTTGTAGAATCATGTATGCCACTCCCTTGCCATGGAAACTTGGGGGGGGGCGGTGAGGAGAGCTATTTGGAACACACTCAGAAGAGCTCAGGGCTTACATCTGACTCTGCACTCAGGGATCACATCTGGCAGTGCTCAGAGCACCCCTGTGCAGTTCTGGGGATTGAACTGGACTCTGATCACATTCCAGGCAAATGCTTTAAGCTCTGTATTATTTCTCCCACCCCAAAGTTTCTTTTATACTTTTATGGGTAGGGAGTTTGTCTTGCATGCAGCCAATACCTCCAACCTGAGTTTGATTCCTCCACCCCTCTCAAAGAGCCCGGCAAGCTACCGAGAGTATTTCACCCGCATGGCAAAGCCTGGCAAGCTACCCGTGACATATTCGATATGCCAAATGCAGTAACAAGTCTCACAATGTTACTGGGCCCGCTCGAGCAAATCAATGAACAACAGGAGGACAGTGACAGTGACAGTGACCTCCAGGTTTATTTTCTTTATGCTGAGAGTCAGCGAGCATGGAAGTGACAATTCGAGGCACCAAGAAAGGGGGTCTTAGCCCTCTCCAAGGAGCTAAAAATCTCAGAGGCTTGGGCCAGAGTGATACTATGGCGGGTAGGGCACTTGCCTTGCAAATGGCTGCCCTGGGCTCAATCCGCGGCATCCCATATGACCCCCTGAGCACCCTCAGAAGTGATTCCTGAGTGTAGAGCCAGGAGTGACCCCTGAGCATTGCCAGGTGTGTCAGCAGAACAAACAAACAAAAAATTATCAGAGACTCTTCTCTTTGGAATATCAGCAAGCCTCTGAAGCTTTGCCCAGGTTGCTGAACCCAACGGAGGTGAGAAGAAATAAGGGGAGTAGAAATGACACAAAGATAGTGACGCAGGCTCTGTGACCCTTTGATGCTGGTGGTGCTGTAACTGTACAACCACCCTGTTAGTGTTAGCCCTATTGCAGCTGTGTGCCCTCAACTATCACCAAAATGAATTAATGATAGTAATCCAGAGGTTGCTGAGACAAGATGCTAAGAAATGCCTACAGGTTTCCTGCTGGAAAGCCACCAATAGTTTCCATTGGCTAAAAAAGCATCAAACTGTATAGTACTTACCTCTGTGACTGCCCTCCACACTGCAGCTTCTCAGCTGTCAGAGCTAAGACACCAAATTTTCCTCCTCCTCAGCAACCGCCCTTTCCTGTCTTTCCCCTCTTTTTGGATTTTTTCTTTTGTTTTGAGGTCACACCAGTAGTGCTCAGGGCTTACTCCTGGCTCCACACAGAGGTTCACTTCTTGCAGTGCTCAGGGGGCTATATCTGGTGCCAGGATCAAACCAGGCTTGCCACTGGCCAAGGCAAGTTGCCTACCCACTGCACTATCTCTTCGGCCTTACCCTTCTCCTTTTGTGTTGTTTTTGAGCCATACCCTGTGGTGCTCAGAGGTCACCTCTGATGGTGTTTGGGGTGACAATGCAGTGTTAAGGGCTTAAACCTGGGACTGATCCGGGCCTTCTGCCTGCAAAGCATGTGCCCAGTCCATTGAACTCTCTCTCTCTCTCTCTCTCTCTCTCACACACACACACACACACACAAACACACACACACACACACATCTCTTCCCTGCTATTTTGTTTACTTGGTTGGTTTTGGAGCCACACCTGGCGATGCTCAAGGGTGACTTCTGGCTCTGCACTCAGAAATTACCCTTTGGCAGTTCAAGGGGGGGTCATATGGGATCAAACCCAGGTCAGCTGCATGTAAAACAAATTTCCTACTTGCTGTACTATCTCTCCAGCCCTCCTTCCCTGCTCTTTACCAGTCCAAACATGGCAACCTCAGGCCCAGTTTGTTCTCAGTGAACACTATCTGAAGATTAGTCCATCATACTCTTTATTCCTAGATCATAGCCCATATCCACATACCTGATGGGGGACAATATGGAGTGCCTGGGAGCAAATCAGGTTGGTCACCTGCAAGGCAAGCACTCTACCCCCTGAATTGTTGCTTGGCTCCCATTGATCTTTCATTTTTTGGTTTGGTTTTGTTTTTTGGCTTTTTGGTTCACACCCGGCAATGCTCAGGGGCTATCTTGGCTCTGTTCTCAGGAATCACTCCTGGCAGTGCTCAGGGAACCATATGGGATGCTGGAGATCGAACCTGGGTTGGCTAATTGCAGGGCAAATGCCTACCCACTATACTATCACTCCAGCCCACCCGGTGATCTTTTGAAGAGGAGGAACTTCTCCAGCTAATGGTCAGGAGGTCCAAAAGCTAATCCTGGTGCTACCCAGCCAAGCAGGTTAGAACTAATGCCCAGGCCCAGTAATTGCCAAAAGGGACACCCTGAGGCTGTCTGTCAGGGGCCTCTATGGACACACCTGATAGTATAGGGGGTGGGGAAGCATGTAGTGCAGTGGCATGTCCCTCCAACCCTTTCAGCTATTTCCCTGGCCCCCACTTGGGGATCTTTTCTAATTTCAGTTCTCAAGTAGTTCCACTGTGCACTTTGATCGGGAAATACTTTTTTATTTTTTACTTTTTGCTTTTCGGGTCACACCCGACGATGCTCAGGGGTTACTCCTGGCTTTGCACTCAGAAATTACTCCTGGTGATGCTTGGGGGACCATATGGGATACAGGGAATTGAACCCGGGTCAGTCGCATGCAAGGCAAACACCCTACCCGCTGATTATCGCTACAGCCCTTGGAAAATTACTTCAAAGGGTCTTTAAACTGAGGGACCGAATTGTCCTCCGGTTATAATTCTTCACTAGCATGAAGCAAGAATATGGGAGCATGATGCCAAACAGGAGAGAGGAAGAGAGGGGGGGGGAGAGAGAAAGAGAAAGAGAGAGGAAAGTGTCTGCCATAGAGACAGGCTGGGGGTAGGGTGGCAGGAAGTAAACTGGGGATACTGGTGGTAGAAAACATACACTGGTGGAGGGATGGGTGTTGGAACATGCTATGACTGAAACCCAACCATGAACAGCTTTGCAACTCTGTATCTCATGGTGATTCATTTTGATATATATGAGCTCTTGAAAGATATTTATTGGTGGAGTCAGAGAAAGAGTACAATGGGAAAGGCACTTACTTACCTTGCACGGAGCTAACCCATGTTTGAGGCTCAGCACCAAACAGGATTCCCTGTGCCCCACCAGGAGTGATCCCTGAGCACAGAGCAAGGAGAAAGCCCTGAGCAAAGCCATGTATGACCCCGCAAAACAAACAACCCCCAAGATATGTATTAGCTTTGATCCCTGCTCTCTCCAAGAAGAGGCAGGATGAGAATTGCTTATGATGTGGAAAACTGCTTGGTGGCAAACTGAAGCAGGATGTAGGACTGGAGCGATAATGCAGTGGGTAGGATGCTTGCCTTGCACAAAGCCAAGTTGGGTTTGATCCCCAGAATCCTGTATGGTCTCCCAAGTGCTCCAAGAGTGATTCCTGGGGGAGGAAAAAAATAACAAAATGAAAACATGAGAAAGAGCGGTTCGTGGGTGTGAAACCAGGAGTATCCCCTGAGCTCCACAAGGTGTGGCCCCCAAACAAAACCAAAACAGAACAGAAGCAGGAACTAACTTCCATGGAAGCGATAGGGGTTATTGGGCAAGCAATACATTTTCCTTTTCAACTTGGGAAATGCAGCTCAAGCTTGACATTCAGGGAACTTGGAAAAGATAGCTGCTGAATTGGTATCACCTTTCAGAGCTTCTCTATCTTGCCCTTACCCTGGCACCCTAGAAAAGCACAGCTGGCATGAGTCCCATTCCCTCTCAGTATAGCTGCCCAACTAATGACACCAAGTCAGAGAATTAAGTAGTCACAAAGAGGTGATTCAAGTGAGGCCATTCCTTGTCAGGGACGTGGGAGGGAGAGTATGTAGACACAAAGAGCACTGAAGTAAGGACTGTGACCTCTTTTCTTGATCACAATCAGAACTGCCTTCTCAGAGTGGTTGCATGCAGCCAATCCGAATTTGATCCCTGGAACCCCACATGGTTCCCCAGAGCCCACCAGGAGTGATTTGAGTGTAGAGTCAGGACTAAGACTGAGTACACCATGGTTGTGACCCAAAAGCCAAATAAATAAATAAATAAATAAATAAATAAATAAATAAATAAATGTCTTCTTGAGGGAAAGCAAAACATGAAGGCATGCGGTAATCTATACAAATTTTATTTTCATATCCGTTTGATGGAAACAAGCAGGTGTCAGCATTATGCAGGCACAGAACAAAAGGAAAAGGAAAAAACCTCCAGTGATCCTTGCAGTGATATGCACACTATTTGGTTTCAACAAGGACAGGAAGTTTTACTGTTAGCTTCCTGCGGGAACTCCAGTTTCTGCACCTTCCCCTGCTGCCTTTCAGCATCGCGATAGAGCAGGGATTTCTGGGCCTTCAATCGGCAAGCCAGGCACATGAAAATGGACTCCACGTTCTGGCTCTCTTTGGGGTCCTTGGCCGATGTCTCAAACAAGAGCATGTTGTGGGCATCGGCAAATTTCAGGGCTAGGTTGGAGGGCACCTGGATCTGTTCCCTCAAGTCACACTTGTTGCCCACAAGCACCTTCGGGACCAGTGGGGGCACAGCATGCCCGTTGCATTCTTGGATCCACATTTTGAGGTTGGTGAAGGAAGTCATCTTGGTGACATCATAGACGAAGACCACTGCGTGCACATTGCGGTAGTAATGTTCAACCATGCTTTTGCGGAAACGTTCCTGACCTGCCGTGTCCCACACCTGGACCTAGAAAACAAGAAAGTCCATATCTGCAGTCAGAAAAGGAAAGATGACTGGATAGGAGCAAAGATGGATCTGTGACAGGAAAACTCACGGAGCATGGCAAGTCCTGCCACAGTCTGGAGACAATTGCTTTCAGGATTTACAAAGCTTGTTTGTCAGTATACTACCCAAAGCACAGAGCCAATAGCACTTCAAGCCTGAGACCCAAACTACAAGAGCCCAACTTAAAAATGTGACTGTCAGGGCCGGAGTGATAGCACAGTAGGTAGGGCATTTCTCTCGCATGCAGCAGACCTGAGTTTGATCCCCTGCATCCCATATGGTCCACCCATACACCACCTGGAGTAATTCCTGAGTGCAAAGCCAGGAGTAACCCCTGAGCATGGCAGGATGTGACACTCAAAAAGTCAAAAAATAAAGTGCCTGCTGCCTTAGGGGTGGGGGGTAACTTGGGGACACTGGTGGAAGGAAGTTGATAATGGTGGTAGGGTTGGTGTTGGAACATTATATGCCTGAAACTGTATTGCGAACAACTCTGTAAATTATAATACTTAATAAAAAATTGTTAAATTAAAAATATATATATATAGCTTTGGGGCTACACCCTGCAGTGCTCAGGGGTTACTTCTGTCTCTGCACTCAGGAATTACTCATGGTGGTGCTAGGGGGACCATATGGGATGCCGGGTTAAACCTGAGTCAACAACATGCAAAGTAAATGCCCTACCTCTAGCACAATTACTCCAGCCCAAAATTTTAAAAGATCTTGAACTTCTAGTCCAGAGAGATGGATCAAAGGGCTGGAGTAGATGCTTTCTTGAGGTAGGACCAGTGTCCATCCCCAAGCACTAATCTGGGAGCAGTCCCTGAACACTGCTGATTATGCACTGCCCCCATAATAAAACACACACACACACAATACAACCAAACAAATTTGAATTGAGTTGTTGAAAATCCTGGGATCCAGGGAGGAAAGGGTGCTGTCCCTCCGCCTGCTCCCCCTTGGCGGCTCGGTGGTCGCCATCTTCCAGAGGCCATTGGACAGTCAGGTTTGGGCCCGCAGTGACAAGACACGTTGGGCCTCACGGGATGGGGGTGGAGCCGGCACTTTCCTCCCCATCCTTTCCTCCCCATCCCAATGAGACCCCAAGTTGCCACCCATGAACGGCCTCTCTGGCTCCTGATCAAGCTGTTTAATGGCCATGATCCCAGAGACTCAGAAACAAATCTCTAAACCCAGCAGCTTTTGGCAGAAATGCGTCCGATCCCTGCAGTAGGTTACTGGCTTTGGGCCAACCCAGGTGGGAATAGGTTTCGTGCCATGGCCTGTTCCCCCTGGCAGCCCAGTGGCCGCCATCCTCCAGAGGCCACTGGACAGTCTGGGCCCGCAGTGACGAGACATGCGGGGCCTCACGGGATGGGGGTGGAATTGGCCCTTTCCTCCCCACCCCAATGAGACCCCAAGTCGTCGCCCACGAATGGCCTCTCTGGCTCCTGATCAAGCTGCTTAACGGCCATGATCCAAGAGACTCAGAAACAAATCTCAGAACCCAGTGACTTTTGACAGAAATGTGTTTGGACCCTGCAGTAGGTTACTGTTGCTGGGCACTCCAGGGGGGAAAGGGTGTTGTCCCTCCACCTGCTCCCCCTAGGTGGCTCAGTTGCCGCCATCCTCCAGAGGCCACTGGACAGTCAGGTTTGGGCCCACAGTGACGAGACACGCAGGGCCTCACAGGATGGGGGTGGAGCCGGCCCTTTCCTTCCCTTCCCAACGAGACCCCGAGTCACTGCCCATGAATGGCCTTTCTGGCTCCTGATCAAGCTGCTTAACGGCCATGATCCCAGAGATTCAGGAACAAATCTTGGAACCCAGCAGGTTTTGGCAGAAATCCCTCCAGATTTAAGTGTTAAAATTTCAGAATTTCAAAATCGCATGGCCACTACTGCAGCCATGCAACACCATATATTATTCTTAACCAGCAATAGAAGACAAATTGTCTACTGTAGCCTTTTCAGCAGATCTGAGTGTTGGGGTAAAATCCCAAATAATAATGGTGGGTCTGGTGTCGAAATATTGAATGTGATCAAAGTAGAGCGAGAGTAATGTGGAAATCATCTGCCCCACAGGTAGGGGGAAGGTGTGGGATGGGGATATACTGGGGTTTTTGGTGGTGGATAATGGGCATTGGTGAAGGTACGGGTGTTTCATTGTATGACCGAGACTTAAACCCAAAAGCTTTGTAACTGCTGTCACGGTGATTCAATAAATAAAATTATAAAAAATTTTAAAAAAAGAAAATCCTGGGGTCTGAAAGAGTACAAAGGATAAAGCTTTTGCTTTCTGTGTAGCTGATGTATGTTTGATCCTCAACACCACATATGGTCCCTCGAGTCTTGCCAGGAATAATTCCTGAGCACTGAACCATGAGTAAGCCCCGAGAACTACTGGGTCTAGCCCAAAAATAAACAAAAAAGTCTGAAGGCTTTTAGTTGAAAAACTAGAAAGCAAATTGATCTACTTGGCTAGAAGGCAAATTGGCAATAGTATCCAAAACCTTTAAAATGGTCAAAACTTTAAGAGCTAGAATTCTACTTTCAAAAATCAATACAAAAGAAATAGCAGAGATGAGGCCAAAATTCTGTACATATATTTTAATCAGTATTATTGTCACTGTCACTGTCACTATCCTCCCGTTTTTCATCAATTTGCTCGATCGGGCACCAGTAATGTCTCCATTGTGAGACTTGTTACTGTTTTGTCATATCGAATATGCCATGGGGAGCTTGCCAGGATCTGCCATGTGGGCAAGATACTCTCAGTAGCTTGCTGCGCTCTCCGAGAGGGACGGAGGAATCGAACCCAGGTTGGCCGCGTGCAAAGCAAACACCCTACCCGCTGTGCTATCATTCATACTTCTTAAAAAACAGAAACAGGGCCATAAAGATAGTACAGAGGTTAAGGTGTTTGCCTTGGATGCTGCCAACTCCATTTCAATCCCCTGCTCCACCTATAGTACCCTGAGCACTGCTGAGAGTGACTTCTGAGCATAAGACTAGGAGTAGCCACTGAGCAGTACCAGGTGTGAACCATCCCATCCATGAATAAAGAAAGAAAAACAGGAACCATGTTAGTGGTATAGTTCAAGTGACCTAGCATGTGCAAAGTTCTGAGTTTGATACCTCGGTTCGATCCCTGGCACCACAGGGCGCTTCCTGCACCACTAGGCACACATCAAATTTGAGACTTGTAGCCCTTGAGCACCACCAGGTATGGCTCTTATAAAACAAGGAAGGAAGGGAAGAATGAAGAGAGGGAAGGAGGAAGAAAGGGTGAGAAGGAAGAAAGGAATAAAAGGAAGGAAGGAAGGAAGGAAGGAAGGAAGGAAGGAAGGAAGGAAGGAAGGAAGGAAGGAAGACTGGAGAGATTGTTCAACGTGCCCAAGCACATGCTGTGTATACAGGAACCCCAGGTGTGATCTCTGGCACCTCATGTTCCCTTGAGCAACACCAGCAGTGATCCCTGAGCACTAAACTTGGAGTAGCTTTTGAACACTACCACTTATGGTTCAAAAACCAAAATGAAAAAAAAAACAGAGGAAAAAACCCTCTGAAACAACCAACTGCTCACTAGGAAAGGAATAAAGTGGTACCAGAGCAATAGTATAGGGGTTAAGCTGCTTGCCTTGTAGACTGCAGACCCTAGTTTGATCCCCAGTGCCACATGATCTCCTGAGCCACATGCATCCCTGGGAGCCTCCAGGCACAGCCGGGATCGTGTGGATATCCCTGGCACTGCAGGACCTGAACAGCCTGGCATCCTGGGATCCTCATGTTGAACATCCCATCCATTTAGCCAAGAACTCCCAGAAGGCTCCTCTGCTTCCCCTGAGAACCGCTCAGGTGGGGTGGGGTGTAGCCCAAATAAAATGTACATTTTCCAATGGACAATTATGCTGTCATAAAATTGTTTTAAAGAATAGGGGTCAGAGAGATAGTACAGTGAGTAAGGTGCTTGCTTTGCACACATCTGAAGCAGGTTTGATCTCTGGGAACCCATATGATCCCCTGAATCCACCAGGAATATCCCTGAGAGCAGAACAGTGAGAACAGGTGGGTGTGACCCAAAAAAAACAAAAAAAGAAAAGAAAAGAATAAATGGTGGAGGAAATACTCACAAACTATAGGTGAAGGGGTTGGGTAGATAGCTCAGAGGGCTAAAGTGCATGCATTGCATTTGGGAGCCCGAAGTTCCATTACCAGTACCCATGATCCCCTGAGAACCACTTGGGATAATAATTCCTGAGCACCACTGGGTGTTACCACCACCGCCTCCCCACAAAAGAAAATACATGTGGAAAAAACAGACTTTTTAATGGGCTATGATTCCAACTTTTTACAAATATTAAACAAACATATACAGTGGAAAGACTGGGACACATGAATGATTCTTTATGGCAGTCGGAATATAGGTGATACCTAGTTTCTTTATTTTTTCCCATGTGTATCTTCCAAATTTCCTCCTGAGAACATACATCACTTTGTTTAAGTGTGTGTGTGTGACTTTCCATGTCTTTTGGGCCACATGCCTAATGCTCAGAGGCCACTTCTAATTAAGTACTGGTGGGAGAAAACCATGTGATATCAGGGGTCCAATCACAGGCTTCCAAAATCAAAGCATGCACTCCAGCCCTTTGAACCGTCTCAATGGCTCTTTATATGACTGATAGTTTTTGGGAGGGTACCTGGGGACTACTCTTGTGTTATCGGGGTCGGGGGGGGGGGGAATCACTACCAGTGGTCTTTGATACTTAGTCCTTTGAGACACCTCCCCAGTCCAATGTTTCACTTTCTGTTTGTTTGGGAGCCACATCTGGCAGAGCTCAGGGCTTCCTCCTGGTTCTACACTCAGGAATCACTCCTGGCATGGGTTGAGGGACTATATAGGATGCTGGGGATCAAATCCGGGTCAGCTACTGCAAGGCAGTTGCCCTACCAGCTGTACTA